CAGGAATCTATATTTCCCCCTCTGGTGCCCCGCGACTACTGGCACCTTTCTTCAGACAAATATCAAAGCAAGCAAGGGACAGAAGGACAGTACTGTCCTGTCCCCAAGGAGAAAATCTGACTGCACCAACATATACCACAACACATTAAACACACATGGGCCCCTCCTTGCAGCAAAGGTGCAGAGATCTACCTCCTTAGGAGGCTGGGAGCTGAGGTTGGGGTCCATGCTGCACCCAGGCAAATGGCCAGCCGGTGCTTAGGCCCCCTGCAGGGCACCGTGCACAGTGCACAGGCTGTGAGGTGTTCACTGTGGAGCCTCAGGTCTGCATCCCAGCACCTCCTGCACTTTGGTCTGGGCAGATCACCTGCCAGGAGTCTAACTCTGACAAATACTGCTGAGTATGGTCAGCTAGCAAGAGGCCACAGGTTCTGGGAAGGCTACTAAGATATGAGGAAAAAGCAAATATTTGTCTAAGCCCTTCTAGATCACAATTTTCCAGCTAGAAAACTAACACTTGGGAGCATTCCTTTTTCCCCAGTAAAGGTCTATTTCTCCTAATGGGAGAATCCCGTGCACAAATCCATCAATTCAATCTGAACTATGCTTAGATTTCTATTAACCATTCAATTACCAAAGACAGATTTCCATGAACCATGTGAGGCTGGCCTAGGTGTCAGACTGCTGCATCTCTTACTGTGCAATGCTAGATCCTGGAATGGATTATCCAAAAATAAATCCAGGATCAAGTTCTATAGACCTGCCCTGGCCAACGCCCAGCCCCATACAGGCCCAAGTCTGCACAAACCAGGGAGCCCTGTTCGAGAGCAGGTAGCCTCCGGTGCACACCTGGGCCTCAATGACTGGAAAGAGGGTTGATCCCGAACTCGCATCCCTACGGGTGCCAGACTATCCCCTGGAAAGCAGGAAAAACGGCCCCTTCTGAAGGCAGATACCCTACAAATGGATCCATGCCAGGATGCCCCAAGAACACATACAATACAGTGATTCCCCCTTGCCTTGGTGGCCACAGTGTCTCCAGAGTAAACATGCTAATGGACTTCCTCCACACCGAGCAAATGGACCCCCAAGCCAGAATCATCCAGTCGGCCCCTCCCTGGCTTTCACATGATCTTAGGGGTTTCTTTTCATATATTTGGTCATCTAATCATTCTACCTGTGGGCTGATGACTTCCAAACACCTCCGGAGACTCAGTGCACATCCAGGTCTGCTATTCCCCTACCCTACACGTCCCACCCACACCTCAAACTGGCTGACCTTGCCATCCTCCCTGAGAGAACATCCATTCCCAGGGCTGAAGCATAATGCCAATTTTTGTTTGTTTGTTTGTTTGTTTTTGAAGAGGTTTTTGCTATAGGGCATGTGTGCTCGCCAGACAGACAGAGAGAGACAGAAAACGAGAAATCACCCCCCAGGGGGGATGGCCACGCCACAATCCCTTCTCCTCCATTCTCCCCTCGGGATCTTGGGCATGCTCACACACGAGCCTGGCGTGAGTTTAAGCCACCAGGTCCAGATCGCGAACCGTGGTCGACTACATGGGAATCCAGCGACATAGCCATTAAGCTAACTGCTGGTCCCCATGATGCCAATGTTTATCTAGAGCCTTTGCACCAAACATGGAGCATACAGCACTGATGAGCCTGGAGACCCTGCCCCATTCTGGAGTAATAGTTATCCAACTTTAGCATGTGTAAGAGTCACCTGGCATGGATATCAAAACAGAGATTCCTAAGCCCCTACCCCCAGAGACACTGATTCAGGAGGTCTAGGGTGAGGCCCTAGAAACTGTACATCTCCTTTTTTAAATTATTATTATTACTATATGGTGCATTCACTTGCCAGAGAGAGACAGAGACAGAGAGAGAAAGAGAGAGGGGAAGTGAGTAAGCACCCCCTGGGAGGGAATCGCCATGCCATAGCCCCTTCTCCATTCTCCTCTTGGGATTTTGGGCATGTGTGTACTTGTGCCTGGCATGTTTTTCAAGCCACAGGGTACAAGACTCAAACCAGTTGGCCATGTGGAATCTAGCACCTTAACCACCATGCTTCCTGCTGGCCCCTCCTCTTGGGATTTTGGGCACACACGCACATGTTTCTCAAGCCACCGGGTTGGAACTTGCACCCTGCAGTCCACCATGTGGGATTCAAGATGCCTTAACCACCATGCCACCAGCTGGCCATGAGGTTGCATTTCTAACAAGCTCCTGCTGACATCTGAGATCTGAGTACAACAGGTACTCCTTAGGTGTTTGACGAATGAATGAATGAATAGAATGAACCTAAAGGGAATCTTCCATGGAGAATAGCCTCAGAAGAGTCCCCAGTCTTCTCCTCCCAGTCCCCACCCCCACCACAGGCCAGCGCAGAGCACACAGTTCCTGCCCTGCAGACACCTACCCCACCATTTAAAATCTGGAGCACATCTTCCATCCCCCCACCCCAAACCTTCTCCAACTACCCAGCCGTACAGATGACATCACTCAGAATCCTCACATTGTCCAAGCAAGTGTTCTGAGCAGACACATGGACACACATGTGCTAGCACAAATGCACACATAGCCTGGCCTCTCAGAAGACTAGAATACGCTTTCCCTATCGGAATATAAATTGGTCCGTGTGTTACGTCCACCAGAGTGCCCACCTCACCAGGGTACTCAATACATGAATTATGGATGGATGGGTGGGAAAAGGATAAACGAATGAAGGTCTTATCTTCTCAATGACGCCAAGTTTGAGCCCGCCACAGTGGCACATGATGTGAGATGTTAGCACCACACCAGAGGCCTGGGTTCCATTCCTGACACAGCTTAAAGGAAAAGTATAGTGGTGTATGCCTGCACTCCCAGTGACTTGGGAGGCTGAGACAGGAGGGTCATGACATAGCAAGACCTTATCTTTAAAAAAGAAAGAAAAAAGAAAGAAAAATCGCCAAGTCTCGGAGT